ACCAGGCACGAAAGGCCGAATGGGAAGAGGAGATTCCCTTCCCCGAACTTCTCCTGCGAAGACTAGTGCTAATCCAGCTCCTGTGATGTGGACTGCAGAGAGCAGCTTGGAAACGAGCAGCCTGATTCATGCCCTCCCCGAGCAAGGGGAAACCAGCCGGTCTTTGCTTCCGAAATGGCGGGATGCTCAGGGCAGGCATTGTACCTCCCGGGTGTCTCCATCAGGGGCTCAGTCTGGGCCGCGGTCTTCGCTACACGCTAGGCTGGATGTTAATCTCCGGCCCCCGGGGGCAAAGACAGCGCGATCCCATTGACTTGAGTGGGGTTACCCCTGCCTCAGCTGGGAGCCTGCAGATCTCTTACCAGTCCCGTCCACATCCTCCGAGCCAGGAGACCGAACTGGGGAGAACGGTACCCAGGTGCAGCATCCTAAACTCCTGGCAACGACCCCTCTTGGAGACCAGGGGGAGAGATGCTTCTCACAGCCATTATTTGAGCCACTGCAATTTTCAGCAGAAAGAACGAAGCTATTTCCACCCCCGCTCACTCTGTAAGTGTCAATGGAGTCTATGTGGCTCGAGGGCTTGATTGACCGGCATGGGAACCAATGCAAATTTCCTGGTGCGCGTCCGTGAGGCTGAGGGGGAACGTGGAGCAGAGGGAGGCTGGCGACCGCATTCAGAGCCCATCACCGTCGCGTCTGCAGCAGCCCCTCCGCGGGCGCGTTATGCCAGGGGCTGGCAGGGTTTGGACCCACAACAACAAGGGAGGTTTCCGCAGATCCCAGGCTGGGTGGCTGCATCGGTGCCCTTTGTCTGTAATCCCGGATGCTGCTCCAGCGGAGGGTGAGCGCAGAGCCCCTGCCCGACGCAGGGGACCGAGAACAACTGGGTGCTCACGAGGCGCCGCCATCCCGGCCTCGTGCTGTTGCAGTCCTTCTGCCACGGGGACCCTCCAGCTGCTCGCGGCTCTGCAGGACACGACCGGAGCATCCTGCGGCCAGGCAAAAGCGATGCTGTAGCACATCGGGGCAACCCTCCGGAAGGACTTCCACGGAAACTATCGAGTGACCTGGCGGCAAAGGAGAAGGGCACGTTAGACAGAAGTGCTGGGAGAGGAGGTGGGTGAAACGTAGCTTCATCAACAGCTGCATTATTCCTCCTACCACCCAAGGGCCTGTTGCATCTCAGAGCACCGATGGAGCAATGGGAAGCAACAGGGGTGGGGGAGCCGGGCTGTGTTGTTTCATTGCCCCCTTGCACTCCCCACCTGCCTGTCTGTGTCCACCTCCCGCAAGCTTTGCAGGGCAGGGCCGGTCGTCTGGTTCGGTGAGCGAAGCCAAGCCGCTGCCAGGGCCTTGTCACACTGTCACTTGCAACAGCTGCAAACCGCTGGAGGGCAGCGACCAATTCAAGTCAGCCCAAATACTCCTCGCCCGAAAGGGAACCCCTCTTCCAGACCTCGGACACTGTCTCACTGTGTGTCTGCTCCCGTTTTAACCACGCTTAAGCTGAATGTGTGACACCAGCCCGAGATGGAGGCCAGTCCTGAGGCAGCGGGGCTTCAGGAGTGGGTCTCCATGATCACAGAGGCCTGGCCACAGCCCCCCGGTCCCGGTGGGATCCATGGGGGTAGCTCTGAGAACGGTCTGGAGTCTCCCCCAGTCTCCCCAAGTGCCGCAATGGGTGTTTCTCACCCCCTGCACCTGCTCTGCGGTGGAGAGAGATCACCCAGGAGACAGATCTAGCTTGGAAGGGGAAACCATTTAGCAGACCTTGCCAGAGACCCATCAACCAGGCAGGTAACGGGGGAATTAGATCTCCATCCCCGCTTTTCTCTGCTGTTCTGTAAACAGTTTAAGCAAACTCTGGAAAGCAGGCTGCAGATTGTCTCTCAGCCCTTTAAACATTGAGCTATACTGATTACTGTGGATAGTTTTACAGCCTTCAGATGTTCACACCCCATTTACCCATTATGACGTCCTTTCTTATGGATTTCACAGTAGGACGAGAGATTTCTGTCAAGGCAGCCAGCGCAGTGGTAGATTCATGTGAAATATTGCTATTTAAATTCCATCCCCAGCCTCTTGCGCATGCCAAACAAGAAGCATAT